GTTTTACATATGCATTTGTTCATTTATGATTACCCTTCTTTTGAACATTTTTAAAACTTATACTCTGGTCATTCCTTTTCAATTTTTTTATTCATTATCATTTGATGTTATAACTAAGAATCTGGTGACTTATCTAAACTCACAACATATTTTTCTGTAACGTTCTTTTGAGTTTGCAATGCTGTATATTTTGATGGAAAGGGTGCATGTTGCTACATCACACCCAGCACCATAAGGGTGAATGTTGCCCTCCCCAGCATCCATAATTTACTAACATTCAGATTTATAGTTTTAGCTTTATGATTCATTTTCATTTAGTTTTTATATGTAGTAATGATATAGGACTTCATTCTTTTGCATGTAGAGACCTAGTTATCCTAGTAGCATTTGTTAAAAAGAATAATCTTTCCCCATCAAATTGTCTTGATACCTTTATCAAAACTTAACCATAACTTTGTGAGGATTTATTTCTGGATTCTCAATTTTTACGCTACTACCTACTGTATTGATGATTTCAGGTTTTGAAGAAACTGCTCATCCACCCCCCCCCCCAACTTCTTAAGGTCAATTTGGCTGTCTGGGCTCTTTGCATCTTCATGTGGATTTTATATTTGTTAAATTTGAGGAGGGTAGACCAACTGGGATTTTAATAGTAATTGCAATGTATCTTTAGATCAGTTTTGTCTTCTAGTCTGTTAACATGGCTTTACATTTAGATTTTTTTTTTCAATAAGTTTAGTAGATGTCATTTATGTTTTTGTTAAATTTATTCCTAAAGTACTATTTATGATACTATAGTAAATGGAATTTTTACTTCATTTTGGGGATGTTCATTTCTGGTATATAGAAATATAATGGGTTTTTTGTATAGAGATCTCGAATCCTGCACCTTGCTTGTCTCATTTATTGCTCTCATAGCTTTTTGTGGGTTCATTCAGGTCATTACACTTTCCAACCTGTATGCCATTTAAGTTTTGCATAAATGACCTGCTAGTCCTTAAAAAAATGTTGTTTATTTACTTTTTAAAGATCCTTCAGCTTTTTTCTTAAAGTGGTGGTACCATTTTATACTTCTACAAGCAGTGTAAGAGTTCTGTTTGTTCCAAATCCTTAATACTTGAAGTCTCATACTTTTAGTTTTAGCTAATCTACTGTCCTACTGTGACTTAAAAATTTGCATCTCTGTATGGTTAATAATATTAAATGTTTTGTTTATTGATTGTCATTTAGTCTTTTATGAATGTTTGGTTAAGTATTCTGCCAATTTTTGAGTGAGTTTACTTTTAAAACATTATGTTGGAGTTCTTAGTTACAGATCTCTCAGATTTTGAGACTATTTTCTGCCAATTTGTGTCTATTCATTTTAATAAGTTTGGCTTTTGATGAACAAAACTTTCAACTAATATATCACTTCTTTTAAGATTAGTTTCTGTGTTCTATTCTACCTACTTCCAGGGTTAGAAGATAATTTGTTTTTTTCTAAAACTTGTTTCAACTTCAATTTTAGATCTGTAATCTAAACGTACTTTTGTGTATGATATAATGTAGTTTGAGGCTCATTTTCTTTTTAGTCCAATTTTTACAGCTTCACTTGTAAAAATTAAGTTTCTTCCTCCATTGAATTGCTTTGATGCCTTTGCTGCTGATTCTTTAATACTAGTCAATAATATTCGCTAGCCAATGTTTGCTTGTCCAGTAATGTAGAAATTCATAATTGATGAAAAGCTTATTTGTGATGTTAATGTTTATATAAGTTCTTGATTGACATATGTTCTTAGTGAGTGTCCATTTAATTATTATGCAATATTCCTCTTTAAACTTTTGCCTCAGCTTTCTTAACTATCACATATATTAGCAGATGTTCTATAGTTAGCATTTTCTTGGTATTTTTTTTGTATTTTTCATTGTCAATATCTTTTATGTTCAGTTCTTTTATAATTTGTATGCGTTTTGTGAGTAGTACAAATTAAAAGCTATATTTTTCTAAAACCTATTCTGGCAGTCTGCCTTTTAGCAATGAGTTTAATCTGGTTACATTGAGTGTGATTACTGATAAAATAATCTTATTTTGTGTTTTTATTACCTACCCTATTTACCTTTTTGGTCACAATCAGTTTTCAGAATAACTTTTTTCTTTCTATTTTAGTAAGTATACATTGTGCTGCTTTTCATAGTGATTATCCTTAAATTACCTTCTCTTTTTTTTTTTAAGATTTATTTATTTTGTGCATACAGAACTGAGGTACAGGCCAGAGGCTCAGGGGCAGTGAGAGGTTTCACCATAGACAGAATGGGGAGCAGAACAGGCAGATTGATGAAGTACACTGCTGAGGGGAGCAGCGGGCGGGTCAGGAGAGGTCTGCCATGCCATGTGGTCACCTCCAGGGCAGGTGGGAATCAAACTCATGCGGAAGTGGCTTTAGCTTCTCAGTGCTGTGCTTTAACCTGCTGCGCCACCAGTGAGGGCTTAAATTGCCTTCTAATATGCAAGCTTAGCAGTCACATTTTATAACCATGTCTCAAGTATACTGTATGTCTCTACTCCCAAACATGATATAGTCCTTGGCAGGCTCTAAATAATATTCAGTACTCCCCATCAGGGAAAAACTATTTCTGTAATTATGGATTTGGTATACTAGAACATGTCACATTAGGTTGTACCTGTTCTCGTGCATGAATTTAGTTCCAAATGAGAACAAAGGCAGGTGGCCCAAAGTCCTCTGAATAAGGGACAGAATGATCAATAGACTTTTTTTTTCCCCCAAGCTGAGAAGCTCAACTCAGAACTAAGGAGGCCTTTACCATTTGGTCTTGTGCAACTGTATTATAGCTTCTGTCATGGGTCCATCTAGTTAGAATACACAGAGAGCCATGTGTGTTCCAGGCTCGTACTACGTGCTTTGATGGGGAGGAGAGGCTGCCCAAGTCTCGCTGTCCACGGCAGGTCTGGCCAGTGGCTTTGTTGTTCTCATGCTCTAAGTTTTGAGGTGCTGATACCTAGTCACTGTGTTTGTGCTTCTACTGACATTAACTGTCTAAGAAAAGTCAAGCTGGGTCCCAGTACCTTTGTTTTTTTGTTTTCATTTTCTGGAGAAAAGGATCTGTTACTCACTGGCATCCAAAAAAAGGTGCATGAGCTACATGGGCCAGGCCCTGAGTGCTTGGGAGGAACTTGCTTGATAAGATTATTTGAGGATGTGGTTGCTATTGAGGGTACATTTCTGAGGTCAACAGGGGAAGTAGCTCATGCGTCAGACATGTCACATGGGCTCTGTCTGCCCCACATGAACTGGCAGAAGAGGGTGAGGAGGGGATGTTAGAAAGGATAGGAACGTCCAGGGCAGCTTTGTAGAGGTCGTCTTCCCCTGGGTGAGTGAATGTGACTCACAATGAAAGTCATATTTTCCAGTCTTGGCAAGAAACTAAAAATTAGGGGAAATATTCTAAGGCAGTAGATTGTTATCAACCTGATACCATCTGAAAATCAAATGGCCTTTTCTTCTTTGATGCCTGGAGCACATGTACTTCTTCTGTGTGGAACCGACATATTTCTTCTTGGGGGGTGTGCTCCCGCGCCCTGCACACTGGGCTTTCCAAGTGAACTTAGGAGCAGATTCCCCGCAGCTGCAACCTCAACTTTTCCCTACCGAGGCCACACCGCTTTTGAAATTCCTGTATATTCCCCTATACTGTATGGACATGACATTTTCTGGAGCCATGACATAAACTGAAGACTTCATACTGGGAGTCATATGGCGTGGCAGGGAACTTTGCTTCATAATTTAAGTGAAATGACTTAGGGATAGAGATGTTGCTACTCAGTAAGTGGTTGCTGTCAGTATTTTCTTTCTTGTCCACCTGCTGCCTTGTTGTGACCTCTCTTCATCAGGCCATTTTAGTGGACACACAGAGTTGTCAGTAATTTTGGTTCTTTTAGGGGGTAAGCCTGAAACAGCAAGTTACTTAATACAGTGATTGCAAGATTCTAGAGTCAGACCAACTTCTGTTCAAATCTTGCCAGCTGTGTGCCTTTGAGTGAGTGTTTTAACTATAATACACTGCAGTACCTATGTCTATAAAATGGGTAATGCTCACCTCCAAATAATTACTAAAGAGTTATTGACTAATATAGTATGTTTAAAGTACATTATAATGACTTACCTTGTATGAGGAAATTCTCATCAAACTGAAGCTATTTATTAGCATCACTTTCCTAAGGACATATAAGGAGAGCCTACAAACCTTTTTTTTTTTAACTAATTCCATTGACTCTTAAACTGACTAAATTGACCAGTTGTGGGCCTCCCTGGTGGCGCAATGGGTTAGGACACATCACTGCAAGCTAGCACAGCCGCTTCAGTAGGAGTTAGATCCCCAGCCCCGGAGGTGATCCACATGGCACTGCAGACCTCTCCTGACCTGCCCACTGCTCCCCTCAGCAGTGTACTTCATCTGTCTGCCTGTTCTACTCCTCACTCTGTCTCTGCTGAATCCTCTCACCACCCTGCACCTCTGGCCAGTACCCCAGCATAAATAAATCTTTAATAAAAAAAATTGGCCAGTTGTTTAGTACTCTGTAGCTACAATGGATATGATCTATACATTCTAGAACTTCTTGAATACCCAGTTTTTGCCTACAGCCAAACCACATATTATGAAAATTGGATGCTTAATGATAGGCCTGACCTACCCTAAGCTAGAAGGAACATTACTAACAATAAATATTTACATTGTCTTTAAGGGTTTTTTTTTTGGTAATTTACCAGAGAAAGTAGATGAATTCTAGTTTACCTAGCAAGGGCAGATGATTGCTATCCTGAAGGATATTTTCTAGTACTTTCTTGACAAAACTTGGGAAAAGAATAGTTGAGGATTTCTAATAAATCAATATGACATCAGCTGGAGTGATGGAAAGATCATTGAAGGAACAGTTGGGATATGCAGAGCCAGTTCTTCTTCGCTGTGCTATGGGGAAGTCGGCTCTCTCCATCTGCTGGAGACTAATGGAGCAGCCCAAAGTCTCTGCTTGCTCTGAGAATAAGGCTTTCTCCTGTCATGACCATTGGAGATCCAGAGTCACCTACAGGCCGTCTGAGTAGACCCCTTTCCTTGGCCCTGATGAAAGGGTGACTGTATTGCTTTAGGGGTTGGTGGGGTGAGGGGAGGGTTGTGCTATGTTTAACAGCTTCCTTATACAAAAAAGTTAATAACTAAAAGGAATATATTAGGGAAATATGAGATTTGCTTTTCAGAAGTCACAAAAAA